TCCACCCTTCCCCAAATGCCAGACTTCAAGAGCAAATCACCTCTCCCTCCCCCCCCCCCCCCCACCCCCAGCCCTTCTGCACGGCCCGCTCCCCCAGCTTAAGAAAGAACAGGAAACACACTGAAGGGAGGACCAGCTCCCTAGGGGACAACACCAGCTCTGAGGCCTGAGGACGTTATCATATACCCCATCTCAGAACAACACGCTACACTGAGACAGATCGCCATGTGCCGGACAGGGTTATTCCAGCTGACTCTCAAACAAGGGCCCACGCAGGTGTCCTGATGATCTCCATTTTACTGATGAGAAAACGAAAAGGAAGCCATCGGTCCCAAGGGGCAAAGAGGACACATCACAAAATCGAACCCTGGTTTTTAGGCTCAGTTTGACCTGCGTTTGTACACCCAGACCCAGGGAAAAGCCCTGAGATGGAAAACCCACCTTGGTAAGTGGAGGGCAGGGAAAAACAAGATAGAAAAAAAGGAAAAGAGAAAAGGCTGGCTCCTCCAGTCTGGTCATTAACGAGCTTATTAAGGGAAACTTACGAACAAGGAGTGTCTTGGGTGAATGAGAGAGAAAAATGAGTCTGGCGCGGCTTGGCAGGCACCAGCAGGTTACACACCGTAAAGGGATGGGGTGAGGGGGACAGGCAAGGGCACTAGTTCAGAATGGGAATGCCACCAGGGAGGGGAGATTACTAAGTGCATGCTTGACCAGGTCAGGACAACAGCCTGTTCCAGGAACCAGCACATAGCAGGTGACCAGGAACGGATGCTGACTTCTCCCCTTGAACATTGATTACCATCAGTCCCTAAGGGAGGATGAGCAGAGAACAGCCTCAGGCCTGGCCCAGGCCCAGCTCGTGGGGCAGTGCAATCTCATCATAGCACAGTTCCTCTGCACCCGGTCCCTGTCCAGGTATCCCTGTGGGCCACGTGGAAGATTCAGGAAGTCTTCCCTGTGTAGGTGGTGACTGGTGTGGATAAGACCTGAGAACCGGGGGTGTGTGAGGAGTTGGGAATTCATTCTCATCGGGAGGATGAGGTGGAGCAGTTCAGTTTCAGGTAAAGAGAGGAGAGAACCGCGCACGTGCAGAGAGCGCTGCATACTCAGGAGATAACTAGCAGCTGTGTATGCCTGTGGCTTGGGAGGGAGCTTGGGGTGCAGATGGAGAGGTGTGGAGGGGGGGGTGTGCAGAAAGATGAGCCTAAAGAAGTAAATGTGGGGACAGGTTGCAAACGGTCCTGCTGGTAGCACTGCACAGGTGAAGCAACATGCCTCCCAATTTTATTGTGCCCTTATCCCCTCTAACTTTTGGGAAGCCTGAAAATGGTTGCCATGGCTACAACCCCTTTCCTAGATCTTTTCACAGGGATCGCCATGCCAGGGATCACATAAACCCTCCATTGTGACCATGTGACACTCATGAAAGGCCTATGAGGCAGCCTCGCATTGGAATTTTGTGCAAAAGAGATGACAGTGAGAGGTTAGACCACTGAGATTCTCTCTTGAAAACCAAATGTGAGCCCTAGCCAGCTTGGCTTAGTGGATAGAGCCTTGGCCTGTGGACCAAGGGGTCCCGGGTTTGACTCCGGTCAAGGGCAAGGGGATGCACCTTGGTTGCAGGTTCCTCCCTGGTCCAAGCCCTGGTTGGGGGTCATGCAGAAAGCAACCAATCAATGTGTTTCTCTTACATCGATTTTTTTTTTTCTATCTGTCTTTCCCTCTCTCTTCTCCTCTCCCTAAAAATCAATGTAAAAATATCCTCAGGTGAGGATTAACAAACAAAAAAAGAAAACCAAAGGTGAGGAGAGTCATCAGTGCACAGTAGGATCAAAAGATGGCCTCAGAAGTCAAGGATCAGTAACGAACATTCAGAAGCTGTGAGTAAGCAGAAGTTATGAATCAGCTGGAGTACTGGTAAACAAGTCTCAAAATGGAAGGAATAGAGGAAAGTGAGGTTAGAACAAGAGCAGTAGGGACAGAGGCAGGGAGACTATAAGAAACGAAGTCCTACCACGTAACCTGCACTAGCGCAGCTGTGTAGCCAGAACCCCATCTTGGATCACAGACTGAGTTCGGGTCTCCACGTGGCCCGGTCTGGGTGGTGTGTATTCCCTGTGGGGACATCTATATAATTTCCCATTATCTCAGGTAAACTGAGAGAGGCAAGGCTGTCTCCCATCTCTTCCATGTTCTTTTCTCTCTGTTACTGTCTCCTGGACTCCTCAGCTTGCTCATCCTCCTTTTGACCCCCAATAGTTGTCTCAGCACATGAGGCTAAATGACGTTTTGAGAATTGTCTCTGTCTTTCTGTGTCTCAATGGCCAGTTCCTGGGAGAAGGCTCAGATTGGCTCAGCTCATCATGTTGAGCCAGGCCATGAACATGCCAGGGGCTGAGCTGGCTGATTCTTGGGTTCACTTAGGGGCATTGGAACTATGGGACGAAAGAGGAACATTAGGATGAAAGAGGTCATCGGAGGGAGGAGGCAGGGACTGGAGTGCCTCTGGATGTCTTAGTTCCAGAACTCTCCAAGTTCCACAGTGAGTTCCCCATCACCATGTTTTCTTACGTGGTGTGCTCATACACTCACAGGATTGGCTTACAATCGCCAGGCTGAAAGATGTAGAAAAGAGATTTTTAAAGTAGAACTCAGGGAAAGCCTCCCGGGGTGGGACTAGACTATCGTCCCATAAAGCCAACCTTAAAAGAGAGAGAGAGAGAGAGAGAGAGAGAGAGAGAGAGAGAGAGAGAGAGAGAGAGGAAAAAGTTGGAGCGCAGGGTTTAAGGAGAGAACAATCAGACTTTAAGGTCCTGTCTCACGATATGGGGGAGGGGTGAGACAGGGATGACCCAGAAAGGAATAATAATTGCAAAGAGGGATGCTGCTGCTGAAACCGGTTTGGCTCAGTAGATAGTGCATTGGTCTGCAGACTGAAAGGTCCCAGATTCGATTCTGGTCAAGGGCATGTACCTTGGTTGTGGACATATCCCCAATAGAGAGTGTGCAGGAGGCAACTGATTGATGATTCTCTCTCATTGATGTTTCTAACTCTCTATCCCTCTCTGTAAAAAAATCAATAAAATATATTTTTAAAATTTATTTAAAAAAAGAGGAGTGCTGCTAAACTTTAAACTGGTCTGTGGCATAGACGACAGTGCCTCTTCCTTTCTACTCATTTCCACTGTGTCTGGCTTCAAAAGTCTGACTCAGTGGGATCTCATAGTTTCTCCAAACTCACTCCACATGAAAGGAAGGGACTCTTGGTAGCATGTTTTTTTCATGCTCTTCTTGACTCCAAATGAGCCAGCCTCTGACCTTGAAATCCTAGTTTTGTCCTCCAGCTCAAGCCAAGTTGGGTAGGCCTCCTCTGCAACTTTTGTCCCCTGGTGATCCTGCTTCTCCAGCTGACTCAGAATCCTCAGCCAGCCCATTCTAGGGGCTCTCTATAGATTCTCATCCAGGAGGGAGGGGCCCAGAAAAGGCAATTCATTCATTCATTCATTCAGAAAATAATGTATTATGGACCTTTTATGTGGCAAACATGCTGCTAGGTACGGGGGATACAATAGTGACTTGGGCAGGGACCAACTTTCAAGGAGCTTCTAGTTTAATGGAGGAAACACACGTTGAACAAGTAATCATAAGAGTGATGAATATTATCTACTCTAGATCCAGCACATTGTCTCCAAGAGAGGCAGGCAGTAGATGAAGTAGATGAAGCCTGGGGGCTCTCTCCCACCCAGTTCCCCCAAAGTTCCAGCTTTATACCAGGGGGGATGCCTCACTGCATCTGTCCTCCCAACTTGGCTACTCCTGGGAAAGAACATACAGCTCAAGGCACAGCTTTTGACTATCAATTGTTGATCCCTTTTTGTGCCCATAGCATGTAAATTCTCTGGTTATCCATTTGAGTTTGCCATCTGCTTCCTGCCAAAACCATGATTGATATAGACCTTTATGAAGAGACTATTTACATAAGTGGGAGAGTTAAGGAAAAGGAAGGAAGGAAGGAAGGAAGGAAGGAAGGAAGGAAGGAAGGAAGGAAGGAAGGAAGGGAGGAAGGAAGGAAGGAAGGAAGGAAGGAAGGAAGGAAGGAAGGGAGGAAGGAAGGAAAGTTGAGGCATCCAGATTTTAGCACAGAAAGAACCTATCATTGTCCTTAGGCCTAAGGGGGCAGGAAAAGAAAAACATGTGATAGCCTGGTTGAGAGCTGGAACCATGGAGGAGAGGACAGAAGCTCAACAGAAGCTCCATCATGGAAAGACCCAGCCAGGGGCAGAAGGCAGGAAAGGAAAAACAAGTGAATTCAATCAGATAAGAGAGCGCGGAGGGGGTGAGTCCAACTGATTATCTAATCTCCGCTTTCTTCTCTCTCTCTCTCTCTCTCTCTCTCTCTCTCTCTCTCTCCCTCCCTCCCTCCCTCCCTCCCTCCCTCCCTCTCTCCTCTCTTTTTTCTGTTTCTCTCCCTCCCTCCCTCCTCTCTTTTTTCTGTTTCTCTCCCTCCCTTCCTCTCCCTCTGTATGTGTGTGTGTCTGTTTCCTCCCTCCAATCTTCCATTGGCTAAACCCAATCTGAATCCAACCCCAACCAGCAGTCAGAGAATCAAGTCCATAGAAGCCAGCCTTCTGGGGTACAGGGCCAACAAATAGCTGATTTAGAGAGCCAAAGACAAAATAACTAGTCAGCCACACTTCACTCTCAAGAACACTTTAAGAAGAGAAGATAGAGCTTTTAAATTTTATTACAAAGGCTATATGTTATTTTGACAATTAGATTTTTTTAAAAATAGGGCAGAGAGCCCCAACACACCACCTTGCACGTGACAAACACATAACCTGCACTGGCACAGTTGGATGGGTTGTTGGAGGGCCAATCTGAGAACCTCAGAGCACAGCCCATTGTTAGCAAACATGGGTTGGTGCTGAGGTTCTAGAATTCCCAGAAGCAGTAACTCAGCACTGGGAGCTCCTGCTCACAGTTTCTCTTCACAGCTCTTGGGTGCCCTCCACCAGGGTTCCCTCTGTCCCAAAATCCAGATGAAGTTTCTCTTGCTAGTGAGTCTTTATCTGCTTGGATCTGCCAGAGGTGAGTCCTCTACCTTAGCTCTGGGTAGATGTGTAAGGGGACTCTTTAAGATGTTTCAGCCCTTGAAGAAGGAAGACTGGTATATTAGTTACCGCAATCAGTCTGACTCACATTCAGGAAGAGCTAAACAACTTCAACTCTGAGCCAGTTGATTCCTTCTGGCTATGGCTTTACCATCAGAGGAGCCCACTGGCATGGCCCAGGCCTATTCCTACTTCATTCAGCCACTCAATACTTATACCTGATGCTCTGTGAGATGAGAATATACACTGAGTGGCCAGATTATTATGATCTCTGAATGCATAATAATCTGGCCACTCAGTGTATATCCTATATAATAAAAGGGTAATATGCAAATTGTCCCCTCGACCAGGAATTTGACCAGCAGGCAGGCCAGCCAACCGCCCATGTCCCATGCACGAATTCATGCACCGGGCCTCTAATATATACACTGAGTGGCCAGATTATTATGCATTCAGAGATCATAATAATATGGTCACTCAGTGTAGGTCTAGAGTTCTATGGAAGTCTAATGAAAGCTTGTTCCAGTGAACTGAATGCAAGAGAGCCTTGTGCAGTTAATGTTGAAAGGAAAGCTACAAGGAGATGGGATGTAAAGTCCCAGAAAGCCATGTCAGGGCTGGGGCCAGAGTTTACTGGCACACCTCTGTCTCCTGGCTTCCAGGTGTCTGTATTTCCTCTTTAGGACCCACATTCATGGTGGGCTGTGTTCCTTCCTCCTTCCTCCAGGAGAAAAGAGAGACCATGAGCTCTGAGCTGTTGGTTAAATGACAAAGCGTTTTCCTGTAACGTCAGTTCTCAGACATTTTGTTTTTGGCCTTTTTAGATTTTCAAAGGTTGACTCAGAAACATAGATATATAGCTACCAGGTAGTAATATATATCATCCGCATAATAAAGCAGTGACTCAGAAACTATAGGTTGACTCAGAAATCAGTGCGCTTTTTCAAACTTCCTTTCTATAGTAGAAATACCTCTTTGTTAAAGCTTCTGTTAACTATTGAAGAACCAGTCAAGCAGATAATTCTGTAATGATTGTTAAAAGTAAATACCTCCTTAAAAGCCTTACTAAGTCTTACCTTTCCTCCTTTACCCACATATTATGAGCTTAGTTTTTCCGGAAAGTTGTTGATTTTAAGGACTGCAAATCACCCAGAAGGAATGAATGAGTCAGAACTCTTAGAGAGCCAGAGGACTGTGGGACCTTAGGCTCCCTGTCTAAAAGATCTTGTAATTCCTCTCAGCTTTTAGCTAGGTCAATAACTCAATCATTATAGTTTGCTTTCCCTCCTCTAGGTTACTCAGTCAAATCAAAGAGTAATACTCAAATTCTATTTGGTGCCTCACTCAATAAAATGAAAGTCATAATTAAGGAATATCTGTCTACAGTCATTGAGGACATGGACTAAAAGCAGAAGAGACTGGTCAGAAGAGAATTCCCAGCTGAGAGTTTTGTAGTTCCCAGTGTAAGGGAAGGAGAGGAAACTAAAATTAATTGAGCACTTTAGCAATGGGCTAGGCACTTCATAATTTATCTTATTGACTACTCATGACAACTCCACGAAGTGGGTGTAAATGTTACGCCACAAGGAATCTCAGTGCAGATATATAAGCAAAGGGTGTTTTTATCTTAAGATTGATAGCAACTTTGCTTTGAGCCTCCAACCCACATAGAAAGGGGACTGAGTGCAGGAAAGAATTGAAATTGCCAAGTAAAGGCATCTTAATTCCATCTGGTAATTTTTGTGTTCAGTAGACATTTATTTTTTAATTACATTTATCAAGGTGACATTGGTTAATAGGATCCTGTAGGTTTCAAGTGTGTATTTCTGTGATAGCGAGATCTATATATTGCACTGTGTGCCCACCAATCAAAGTCAAATCATTTTCCATCACCATATATTAGGGCCCCTTCACTCCCCACCCTCTTCCTACGAGTTTTTAGGAATTACAAAACTCTTAGCTGGGCATTCTCTTCTGACCAGTCTCTTCTGCCTTTAGTCCATTCCCTCTATGACTGTAGACAGATATTTCTTAATTATGACTTTCATTTTATCGAGCGAAGCACCCTCTGGCAGCCACCACACTGCTATTTGTGTCCACAAGTTTCAGTTTCATAGCTCACATATGAGTGAAATCAGATGGTTCTTCACTTTTTTTTTCCTGACTGACTTGTTTCGCTAGCGTAATATCCTCAAGGTCCATGCATCCATGTTGTCTCAAATGGCAGTCTTCCATCTTGTCTTACGGCTGAGTAGTATTCCATGGTGTATCATTAGCTTGCTCTCTCCAGCATCTGCCTGGTACAGGCCCACAGGAAGCCTAGGAGCCTTCCTCCATAGGAAAGCAGTCTTTACCCCAGACACGCATTCGCTCCTGGTCATCATCATCTTCTTTTTTCCTGTTCCTTCTCCATCCCAGGAGCACCAAGTCAGCTGGAGGAGCCCCCTGGCTCTCTGAATCATCCAGATGCCATTCAGCAATTTTCAGGTGAGCCCTTTTCACTCACAACCCCTTCCGACAGCAAGGCTTTATTTGAGACTTCTTCAGGCAGGGACGCCTTTAGCAAGCAGGCCGCATTCGAGCACGCTTTAGTTGGACGCGCTTCCGGAGAGCTCATTTCAGGTAAGCACACTTCCGGTGAGCCCGGTCTAGGTGAGCACGCTGCGGTGAGGGCCGCATGCTGCAGGTGCACGCGCTTCCGGTTGAACCACCTCCAGGTGTGCAGGCTCCGGCTGAACAGACTTCCGGTGAACATCTTCCTCCGGCTGAACAGACTTCCGGTGAACACCCTCCTCCTGCTGAACAGACTTCCGGTGAACCCGCTCCGGCTGAACAGGCTGCGCTTGTACAAGCTGCCGGTGATCAAGGTGCAGCTGGGCAGGCCGCCACTGGGCAACCTTCGGGGGAACAGGCTTCGGGGGAACAGGCTTCGGGGGAACAGCCTTCAGGCAGTCCAGAGTCAACCAGTGAAGGTGAGCCACCTCTGATGGGCGCCAGGCCTTGCCTTCGGGTGGGTAGTAGGCAACACATAGAGGAACTCAAGAGTGTAAGGAGAAAGAAGAGTTCTCCCAAAGACTCTCTTTACAGGCGGAACCATTAGGAAGGTCCTCTTTTAAGAAAAATAACACATGCCGAAACTGGTTTGGCTCAGTGGATAGAGCGTCGGCCTGCGGACTGAAGGGTCCCAGGTTCAGTTCCGGTCAAGGGCATGTACATTGGTTGCCGGCACATCCCTGGTGGGGGCGGGGGGGTTGCAGGGGGCAGCTGGTCTATGATTCTCTCTCATCGATGTTTCTAGCTCTCTATCCCTCTCCCTTCCTCTCTGTGAAAAATCAATAATAATAATAAAAAAATTATATATATATATATATATTTTTTTTTTTTAAAGAAAGAAAATAGCACAAATGCAAGATGCCAGCAGTCCCTCCAACCTCCCTTTACATAAGAATTTATGAATGCTGCCCTAACCGGTTTGGCTCAGTGGATAGTGCATCAGCCTGAGAACTGAAAGGTCCCAGGTTCGATTCTGGTCTAGGGCATGTACCTTGTTTGCAGTATATCCCCAGCGAGGGGTGTTCAGGAGGCAGCTGATCAATGTTTCTCTCTCATCGATGTTTCTAGCTCTCTATCCTCCCTTCCTCTCTGTAAAAAAATCAATAAAATACATATTTTTTTAAATGAATTTATGAATGCAGATGCTCACAGCTCCCATGGAAGGGACTTCTGGAAGACTAGTCTTCAAGAGCTTCATGCTAAACCAGCCTCTTAACAAACTGTTAGAGTCCTGTGCAAACCCTGTAAAGAGCTATCTAGCCCAACCAGCATGTCTCAGTGGTTGAGCATCCACCTGTGAACCAAGAGGTTACGGTTTGATTCCCAGTTAGGGCACATGCAGGAGGTTGTAGGAGGCAGCCAATCAATGATTCTCTCATCATTGATGTTTCTGTCTTTCACGCTCACTCTCCCTTCCTCACTGAAATCAATAAAAAAAAATATATATATTTTTGAAGTTAGAGAAACATCTAGCTTCCAAGCTCGTGGCTTTGGTGTGTTTGTTTGTTTGTTTGTTTGTTTGAACATGAAAAGTAAAGCAGGAAGACATTCTGTTAGGTCCAGAAATAAGTTCCCAGGACAATGGCAATTCTTTGGCTCTTACTAAAAATGGGTTGTTCGAAGAATTGAAAATTAGATCCAAGGTTTGAGGCCTTAAATTTATTATCAGATTTTACCGCATCACAAAAGTAGTAGTACCCCAAATTTTCAGTTGAGAGAAATGAGACTAACATCACATGGTTAAAAAATAGCAAACCTTGGATTCAAACTGAGGTCTGACTCCAAAGCCCTATTTTTTTTTCACTTGTGCTTCGTTAACTGGGGAATTGGCAGGGGAGAGAGAGCAAAAGGCAGCACAGAAGCTATGCAAAGAGAATGCCCTTTGTGACAAACTGACCTTCTCATAAAAGTCGATTTGACAATGGAGAACAGTACAGACTCTCAGGTTAGCAAAATTAGAGCATTCTAATATAGTTTATTACGCAAATTTTACTCCACGTGTCTTTGTGCCTGTGGGTAAGCGAGAGTATGGAGGAGAGTCAGGCATGTAATAAGTTCTTTGGTCCTATTGTTAGACATGGAGACCTTAAGGGCCTCTAATTATAAATGTCCAGGAAGTCAATGGGGATAGGAACTGGAGTAAAAGTCAGTATCAGAGAGACACATTTGGGATTCATCAGCAATGAACATCCTAGATGAAGCAGAAAGAATGAAGGAATGTGATTGGTATAGAAGAAAGAATATGCTCTGTCAGACACAGGGCCCTCAGATCCCCAGCAGGAATCAAGAAATGAAATGTGATGTGTCCTTGCCAAAACCGGTTTGGCTCAGTGGATAGAGCGTCAGCCTGCGGACTGAAAGGTCCCGGGTTCGATTCCGGTCAAGGGCATGTACCTTGGTTGTGGGCACATCCCCAGTGGGGGGTGTGCAAGAGGCAGCTGATCGATGTTTCTCTCCCATCGATGTTTCTAACTCTCTATTCCTCTCTCTTCCTCTCTGTAAAAAAATCAATTATATATAATTTAAAAAAAAAGAATGTGATGTGTCCAGGCTACAAGTTGCCAATCCCCCAAAGGTGTGACTCAAGGCTGCACAAGAGAATTTCATCAGGCTTATCTTAAATTTTCAGGCCCAGGGGTAAAATGCCACACCTGCTCTTATATGAGTAGTGAAGGGAAATGCCTTCGTGGAGAGGGAACCTGCACCATTCAGAGTTCCCAGCAGTGCATGTTAAAGAAGATCTTCGAAGGTATAATGGGGACTTCCTGAAGTGATCTTTGCCAGCAAACACGAGTATTCATGGGGAGTCATTAGGTGGTGGGAGGGGACCGGGAGGGGACAGGGGCGTGAGGAGGAAACAAACTGTGCTTCCCAGAAACTTGCAAATTCAAGAAAACCTCATCCTTCCAAGTATTCCGAGTAGAATTCCAGTTACTGATGGAGAGATAGAGTCCCTTCCCAGCAGGTCTTTAAAGGAGGCAGGAAGAATGACTGTCTCTTTTTATTAAAGAAATAGGAGTTGTCCCTTGAGCCATTGACTGTAGGCTCAGGACTGTGTCTATCTTGTTCACGGCTATATATTCCTAGCACTTAGCACAATGTCCAGCACATGGTAGGTAGTTAGTAAGAACTGAGTAAATGAGTAAACAATTATCTACGAGTCTGTGCCCATAGGTTGCCAGAACTGTCCCGAGTATAGAGCCACACCTCTCTACCCTTCCACTCACTCCTCACCCCCAAAATAAGAGATCTTGGTTACGTCCATCCTGGAAACCACATTGCCTGACTTCCCTTGTCTGGTCCCTCCATAGAGAGAGTGGGCAACAGATGGAGGGGAGGGCCTAGAAGACGCAAATGGAAAGAGAGATCTCAACTCACGCCAGCATGAGGACACTGGGGACCACGGGATGGGATGAAGGCTTAGTTTGCCTCCTGCTCACTGCAGTCTTATTTCTGCCTCTTCCAGGTGGAAATCTTGAGTTCATGGTTCAGGGATGTGAGAATATGTGCCCATCCATGAGCCTCTACTCCCACGGGACCAGGATGCAACTTATCTGCTGTCGGGATAAATCTTTCTGCAACATGACCTAGAAGCTGGTGCTCTTCCTTGCTTCTGGCTCTGGCTCAGGCAGCAAAAATCCTCCACCAACCTCCGGGGCTCAATTTATGTTTGGTTTCCCTTCCAGTCAACAGCTAGTCACGTGGGCCTCTGCCTGAGTGTCAGACTGGATGCTCAGTATCCATGCCTCTCCTCCCCACTGCTCTCTGCCCTCTGTTTTCTCTGTTCCGCAAATCCATCTCTTAACATTCTTTGGTTTTTCAATAAATCCCGCATGGTTAAAGAATATAGACTCCAGGCAGGTTTCTTTTCAGTCAGTTGCGGAGCCAGCCTAAGTGTCCTTCACTTCGCACATTGAAACAGATGCATTTTTAAACCAGATCCTCCAAGACAGAGACCACAAAGATTACAAAGTAGGTACTAATGTGTTTTGTTTTTTTAATATATTTTATTGATTTTGTACATAGAAGGAGATAGAGAGTTAGAAACATTGATGAGAGAGAATCATCGATCAGCTGCCTCTTGCACACCCCCAACTGGGGATATGCCCACAACCAAGGTACATGCCCTTGACCGGAATCGAACCCAGGACCCTTCAGTCCCCAAGCCAATGCTCTATCCATTGAGCCAAACCGGTTTCGGCTGACGTTTTACAAGCTTAAACCGAGAGAGGGTCCTTCTCTGAATCGCTGGAACCCCATCCTCATCTACTTATCATGGCGTCCAAAGTTCACCCCTTTGATCTATATGTCTGTTTTTGTGCCAGCACCAGGTTATTTTGATTACTATGGTCTTATAATATAGTTGGATATTAGGTAGTGTGATTTCTCCAACTTTGTTCTTTCTCAGGATTGCTGTGGCTTTTTGGATCTTTTGTGATTCCAGATAAATTCTTGGAATAGTTTTAGTTCTGTAAAGTACTCCATTGGTATCTTAATAGAAATTGCATTGAATATTCAGATTGCTTTGGGTAGTATGGATATTTTAATGATGCTAAGTCTTTCTATCTATGAACATGGTAGATACATTCACTTATTTGTATTTTTTCCAATTTCCTTCTTCAGTGTCTTATAATTCCTTAGTATAGGTCTTCTACATCCTTGGTTATATTTATAGTCCTAGGTATTTTTTTTTTTTTTAAGCAATTGTGAATAGGATTATTTGCTGAGTTTCCCTTTCTGATCGTTATTATATAAAAATGTAACTGATGTCTGGATATTTATCCTGCTTCTTTACTGAATTCATTTATCAGTTCTAGTTTTTTGTGTGGAAGATTTAGGATTCTCTATATAAAGTATCATGTTATCTGCAAATAAGTTTTACTTTTCTTTCCAATTTGAATGCCTTTAATTTCTTCTTCTTGTCTGATTGCTGTGGCTAGGACTTTGTTAAATCAATGGAAAAGCAGACATCCCTGTCTTATTCCTGAGCTTAAGGGAAATGCTTATAGTTTTGCCCATTGAGTATGATGCTGACTGTGGGTTTGTCATATATGGCTTTTATTCCATTGAGATATATTCCCCTATTCCCATTTTGTTGAGTTTTTATCATAAATGGGAGGTGAATTTTATCAAATGCCTTTTCTGTATCTATTGATATAATCATGTGGTTTTTAGCTTCCATTTTGTTTATGTGTTGTACCAAGTTTCTTGATTTACAGACATTATACCAACCTTGAACCCCTGGAATAAAGCCCACTTGATTATTATATTTTTATTGATTTTAAAGAGAGAAAGGGATAAGGAGAGGGAGAGATTGAAACATCAATGATGAGAGAATCATTGATTGGCTACCTCCTGCACACATGCTACTGCAGATTGAGCCCACAACGGGGACACGTGACCTTGGCCAAAATCGAACCTGGGACCCTTCAGTCTGCAGGCCGATACTCTATCCATTGAGCCAAACCAGATAGGATGGTGTATGATCTTTTTAATGTATTACTAGATATGGTTTGCTAATTCGTTGCTGAGAATTTTAGCATCTATGTTCATCAGGAATATTGGCCTATCATTTTCTTTCTCTGTAGTGTCTTTATTTGATTTTGGAATTAAGACTATGTTGGCCTCTTAAAATGTACTTGGGAATCTTCCCTCTCCTAGAATTTTTTGGAATAGTTTGTGAAGGTTAAGTGTTAGTTCATCTCTGAATGTTTGGTAAAAATTCACCAAAAGTCATCCTGCCCAGGACTTTTGTTTATAGAGAGTTGTTTTTATAACTGCTTCAATTTCACTAGCTATAATAATCTTTTCAGTAACCAGAACTAAATGGATAGCCAAATATGGGGGGGGGGGAATGAAACTTGATCTCTATCTCACATTATACACAAAAAACATTTTCAGGTAGATTGTGGATCTGTGTAATCCAAAACTATAAATAAATCTTTTAAAATATGGAAGAAAATTTTAATATACTTATAGTAGGGAATTAATCCTTAAATAAAAAACAAAAAAAAGTTAGCCAAGGAAAAATCTTAATTGGACTATATTAAAAATAAAAACTTCCTTGCCTGGCCAGTGTGGCTCAGTGGTAGTATGAGCATCAACCTATAAACCAGGAGGTCATGATTCAATTACCAGTAGGGCACATACCCAGGTTGGGGGCTCAGTCCCTAGTAAGGGCAGCAGGGGAGGGGAGAGAGGGCAGGGGGATAGGTGCAGGAAGCAACAGATCAGTGATTCTGTCTCATCGTTGATGTTTCTATCTCTTCCTTTCCTCTCTGAAATTAATAAAAACAATAAAATAAAAAGTTATTTTGGGTATTGACTATTAGACTAGAGGAAATGGTAGGTAGGCTGAAGCTACAAAAGCCTAGAACTCAGAGGCAGTCAAAGCCAGAAATGGTTTGTGGATGGATGGATAGATGGATGGATAGCAATCTTCAAGAACAAAATTTCTTCATATTTAAGAATTTACTGGCTCAATTCCTAGGGGCCATCTATCGGTTCAAATTTCTTCCTCCTATGGGTATACTGCAGTAGCACAATTTACTGTTACATGTACACTAATATATGATAAACTTGGACAATAACATTTTATATGTCCTTGATTTCAGACTAAGATGAGTGATTTTATAAATTACCAAGAAGTAGGAATACAGGATCCCAACCTAATACATTCAAGTTAATATAAAGTTTATTAGAATTAAGTCTTAGTAGATTACATAGATAAAAGAGCCAGGAATCAGATCTATTTCTATTATAGCTTCCTTACTTCTGACTCCTCTTTTATTTCTTACCACCTAGAAGCTTAGTCACAGTAAGGTCACAGTTAGTTACTCATTTTCAAAATATAATTTATTTCTGCAATAAAGAATTAAAATACGGCTGTGAAAGTAGAGAATAATATAGAAAAACATTTAAAAGGTGCAACAGTAATTTTAAAGGTAGTTATGCACTAGAGTTTACGCTCAACTTCTACTTGAAAGACCAACCAGCATTTTATATTTATATTTTATTAACTATAACGGAAAAAAACATACCAATTTGTAATTCCAATTAATCATTATAATTCAATAATGGGTTTAGATACCTGGTCAGGACCTTCTGAAAAGGAGTACCAATCTTGGGGATATATTATTGGAAGAGAACTTCACTTCACAGACTGATAAATCTACTGTTCAAAAGCCACAAGGATTTCTTTTTTTTACTAATTCATCCACTTACGTAAATCAATGTGGAAGCAATATGGACTTTTTAGATAAAACCAAATGTTTTGGTAAAAATGAGACAAGAGTATCATCTTTCATTATATTGGCATAAAAGCTGGTAAACTCATATATCCCCAAAGCTTGGTTTTCACCAGGTGGGCCTCAAATTTAGAAATTAAACACAGCTGGAAAAGTATCTAATGAATTCTATCTATCCCTTCCCCAAAGTCTTATTTACAATTAAAATATAGGTATTATTTTTATGCAGAAAGTACAAAATAATTGGAAAATGTTTGACCAGGAGGAAGACAACTCTTCAGGGTCTATGGTTTGCAGTTTGCAGATTAGGATAGTCTTCTCTAGGAAGAATAATGTCAACATAGCAGCACTATATTCACCAGCAATCCGAAAGCCAGCGGATCGATCATGTGGCAGGAAGCCAAACCTTCTGGCTGCTCACAACATCACTCAGCTTGCCTTTAATCTTCAGGAAGTGTCTCTTGAATTCCAATCCATCACCCTATATTAGGAATAATATAAAAAAATAATGTAAGGGAAAAAAATCAAAATCTCTGTGGTAGGATGTAGAGAAAAACACCTACAGATATGTCCAGCTACAATTCTCTTTAGGTCCTCTAATAAAGACCAATTATCTTAGGAGAAGAAATGGCTAAAATAAATAATTCTGACTTAAGAACCATCACTGTCCCCAACATTAGACCCAACACTGAACTAGGAAAGCAAATACAATGACAGCCTGTCTGCTTTAAGCATTGATATCTCTGGCCCTACGTCATTGTTTTCCATAGGTATTAGAAATTGGTCAACTAAAAATAAGCTACACAACTATACTGAAGCCTTCTCAAAATACTGTGGCCACAAAGCCAGTAATTCCGTTATATAAAAAACATTATCACACTAGGATCTTAACCATGTAATTCCATACCAAGCATCTAGATAACAGTATTGCAGCAAATCTCCAATATAAAGAATATGACCTTTTCCTCCAACCTCTTTTAGAACTCATACAATCTCCCAGGAAATAGAGAAGATGCTATTTTTGTTTTATATATACCAAAGGCTTTAAAACTATATATAACCTCAGCTCTAGTAATTTCTAAAGAAATCATCATAAATGTAAGACTTTATGTATCTGGATATTTAAGCACAGAATTATTAACAGATAATGGTTCATTAATTATAACGTGCAAACATTTTTGACAAATCACAATTTTTATAGAAAAGATATATATGAATTCAATGTTTATAAATGCCATGTGTATATAAATATAATAATATTTTAAAATAATCTCCACATAAACTCTCCATAGTATATATTATTAGTAGCAATATAGCATATCTACTATAATGAAATACATCAAAATAAATCTGAACCTAGCTGGTTTGGCTCAGTGGATAGAACGTCAGCCTGCAGACTGAAGAGTCTCGGGTTCAATTTCAGTCAAGGGCATATACTTTGCTAGCAGGCTTGATTCCCAGGGCCATTGGGGCACATATAAGAGGAGACCAATCAATGTTTCTCTTTCTGTCTCTTCCCCTCCCCCCCCCCACCCTTTCACTCTCTCTAAAAAAAAAAAAAAAAAAATCAATGGAAAATATCCTCAGGGGA